CTCAGGGTTTATAACCTCATTTCATTTTGATAATTCTAATCACCCACTGAATCAATAATCATTAAAGTATTTAATTTTCGAATATCACTGTCTGTTTATCGTTATTATTACGTCCAAGTCATGGAATGTTTGAAGGTAATACCATTTCAGACTGCACGAAAATCAAACGTATATTTTGAAATTATAATCCGGAATAATCATTATATACAGCTGTAATAACGAGCCAGTATTGTCAAATTCTTTGAAGGTTTTGGATCCGAAACCAAAGATTCTGGCTAACATCACCAAGCCAATATATCTGGTGGCCGCAACGTTAAGACCGGAAACAATGTACGGTCAGACGAATTGCTATCTTCATCCGGATATCAAGTACTCAGTTTTCTATGCGAATCCGGACGAGAGTGAGGTGTTCGTGGCCACTGCAAGAGCGGCTCGGAATATGAGTTATCAAGGAATGACTGCTGAGAATGGAGTGGTGCATTACGTTGATGGACTGGAAAGGGTGCGTTGGGATAAATATGAATTGTATATGATATGAATAATGATATGAATTGTATATGTACGTGATTTTATAGGTAGCTGGCAGTGAATTGCTCGGTGCTGCGCTGAAGGGTCCGATGACAAAGTACGAAAGAATTTATGCATTGCCGATGTTAACGGTTAAGGATGATAAGGGTATGTTGATGGATTGAGCATGATAGAAAGGATGATAATATTCATTGAGAATCTGGCGATTGGAAACTTGATTTTGTGATCGCTTAGATGCAATTTAATCGTGGTACTTTCATCGGATGAATTTGATTCTGAAAGCAGTCGATGAGCATGAGTAACTGATATGGTATTAAATGTAATTACATGAAATGTAATGTATATGAAGTATTAATTTAATGTAATATTTCAGGCACTGGTGTAGTGACTAGTGTGCCGTCAGATGCGCCTGATGATTATGCGGCATTATGCGATCTGAAGAGAAAGAAGGCATTCCGTGAAAAGTATGGCATCAAAGATGAGATGGTGATACCCTTTGAGCCGGTGTGTTTCTATTACCGTTGTTGATCTTTCATTTTTTAAAATTACTCATCCATAATTTCAGATTCCAATAATTCAAATTCCCGAGTATGGAAATCTAGCGGCCGTTTTTATGTGTGAAAAGCTGAAAGTGGAAAGTCAAAATGAACGCGATAAATTGGAAGAGGCGAAGAAAGAAGTTTATCTGAAAGGATTTTATGACGGGGTTGGTGATGTTCTGGAGTTTTTTAATTTGATTGCGCAATACACTGTTACTGTTTGATAAATGAAAATGAAACGAACAAATGAGACTGTGTTTGAGTATCGCAGTTTCAGTTTGAAAGCGGTTCAACAAAATTTTATTGATTATCAATTCGTAATTGATGTTATAATTTTCAATAAGTGTTCTAAGTGAAGCCATTTACCTTATTTGAATAATTGGATCA